AACGCTCGAGAAATGGGCTCTCCAGGATACATAAGGTCAGACTGAGGCATCAGGAACACTGCAGTGTGCCTCATCTGGGGCAGAAGTGTCCACCCTCTGATCTTGCCCACACTTCCTGCCTCTTGCCTTACTCCTATTGAAGGGAGCCCTTACTTTCCACCCCAGGTTCTCAGGGAGAGGAGAGACTTCATGTTCTGCTGCCCAAGAGGTGCAGTGTGCAAAAGACACCTCTTTCTGGCCCCTCATTCCCTCCTCCCCAAGGAAGGGAGACTTAGCACCACCTTATGCAATATATACTTACGTCTTTATTCATTATCGTCTGTCCCTCCACTAGAACATAGAGCCCGAGGAGGAAGAGAGTTGGTTTATCTTCTTCACTGCTCCTACTCCAGTGCCTACAGTTGTGCCTGAAACAGAGTAGATGCTCTGTAACATGCTGCATGAAGGAAGGAGAGAGGGTCAGGGAAGTAGAAAAGTCAGTGGTCAAAACTTAACACGGAAGAGTTTGTCACTAATATGAGATGCTCTGCATGTCAAGGCTCACATTTCTTTAAAAATTATATTTTTATCACATTTTAAAATTTTGTAACTCGTGGGCACTCAGCACAACAGGGCCATTGATTGGAGAGGCAGGCCCTACAGCCAGAGTTGGCTGCTACAACCTCTTAGGCACTCTGGATTCAGCTTTCAGCCCTGCTATCCACGCTTAGCTGGATGTAAGGCCCTCTCTGGGCACCCCTCCCACCCCAGCAAAGGCTGAGTCTCCATGTACATATTCAGAGCAGGCAGGAGGCTGGCTTTTCTTTCCTGGTGTTACTGCTTCTCCCCTCAGCACTGCAGCAATGGGCCAGCCAGCTGTTTTCCCAGCCTCTGTAAGAGGCCCTGAGGGCCCACTAGAAATGCAGTAACATGGAGAACATCTTATTTAGGGCAGCTCCTCTCAGAACTAAACATAGTTGTAAGCTGCTTCACATAGGGTGTAAAACCCCAAGGAGTGTGCTCTGGTAACAACAGGTAATAATACCTTGGCTGCCTTTGGAGTTTTGCCTTGCTGAGTGGGGTGTACACATTTGGATCCAGAGCTGAATTGCCACAACTAAAGAGGAGAGGCTCCTGGCAGTGACATTCCTGCTTCACTGCTCTTACCGCAGGGAGGCTGCTCTTCTAAATACATGTTCAATGACTGAAGAGGCTCTAAACCAGTACCCTGCCAGGGTGCTCATCACCCCCAGCCCCGTATTGTACCCCACAATGCACCAGTCCTACCAATCCAAACTCACTGCCACCACCAGCCTCTAAGAGCTACCACTGGGTGAATACGACATTTGTTTTAGCCAAATTTCCTCAAAATAAAGAGTCCAATCTATGTCCCATGCTCTCCAAGAGCATCCCAGACTCAGCCCTAAGTTTCATTTCAATGATTTCTTATGGAGTGTTAGGGTAATTCACACCCAGTTTTTTAGCCACTGGAACACTTGTCTCTTAGCATCTACAGCAAGCTAGGTAATAATCCAAATTTAAAAGCAGAAAGTGAAGGCCATATGGAAACTGGGTCAGCATCTCTTAATTGTGTTGATTCAGCAGAAAACCCAGGTCAGTGACATTTTGGCATGGTCTGTATTGTGGTAGAGCCCTTCACTGGACAAGGAGCTCAAGGCATGGTTGATTTTCTTGGCCTGTAAATGAAAGCATTTCCCCTCATCCTTGCCAAAGAGAGTGGAAAAATACTTTTATAGGTTGGTCTACCAACTTTAGCCCGAACAGGTTGGATGACCTACTTGGCTCTGGGTTTCATTGGCCACCTGCTGCCCCAGGGCATCTGGGTGTTTGATCTGCAGATACCCTGGGTTTGTTTATAACCCAAGGTTTCAGGATAGAGGCTCTTTATCTTCCTCCCTTAGCTAAACAGAGAACAATAACCAGAGTGTGTTTAGAAACAAATGAATAAGGGTAAGCACATTTGATTTTGAAGCCATGACGTCAAACAGGGTAAAGCACTGATTTGCTCTTGCGGATGTTTTAACACAGGTTTGGGCAATACATGGTTCATCCAGTGTCAGACTGTGAACTCCCTGACATCAGCCCTACAGACACACAAGAAGAGTCTGTTAGACCAGGAAATAGAGTTCCCCTCAGGCAAATATACAAAATAATCTGCTCCCGAAATGTGATTGTGGCAAACGTTTCTTTGTGCCATTAGTCTTCTAGCAGGCAGTAACATTTACTATAGCCTGCCCTTAACAAAGCCATATGACCTATTAAACTTTTAATGAAGTAAATTCAAGTTCACAAATATTTCATCACCCAAAAATGCAGCTTCTGGCTTGCCAGTAATGGTTACTAACATTTTCCAAAATCTCTTGGTTATGAGCCTAATTTTTCCTTGAAGGTTCAAGTCAAGCAGCCTTCACTGATTCCCAACATCCCGGACAGAATTGACCACTTTGCTCCCCGTGGTCCTCTATACATGCCTTTATTGAAGTGCACATTGCTGATGCACCCAGTTTTGTCCATGTCTGCCTCCTCTACTGTTTCTTGAGCTTATTGAGGATAAAGGTCATATTCTGATTACCTGTGTCTTCTCAGTGCTTAGTATAGTACCTGGTACAAAGCTGGCATTAAATATGGGTTTGTTGAATAAGTGAATAAATAAATTCTCTTGCAAAGGTGCACAGTGTATGGTTTCTGTAGTAAACATAATTTCTTTCATTAGCCAAACCATGGCCAATAATTAAGATTGGAAAGTTAAAATATGGACAAGAATAACTTCTCATTTCCCATTTTCTTCAGTCCGCAAATCTTTCTTCCAAATACCCTTTTCTTTCAAAGAGCACTTATTTTTAAGATCCTATATTAGTCCATTTCTGTTGCTTATAACATAAATAACTGACACTGGATTACTTATAAAGAAACAAAATTTATTGCTTATAGTTTCTGAGGCTGGGAATTCCAAAGTCCAGGGAACACATTTGGTGAGGGTCTTGGTGGTGACAGTGACCCAGGGGTCTCACATTGCAAGATGGTAGAAGCAGAGAGAAAGACTAACTTCCTGATTCACTATCCTTTTAAAGCCCTCCAACCCACACCCATGACCACCATTTTTAATCCATTCACTATGGCATGGTCCTACAATCCAATCACTTCTTCAAGGCTCTGCCTTTCAATTACCATGATGATCCTTTTAAGAGTTTATATTTTATAAAGCTGTACATTATATACACTGATGGGTATAATCAACTTTATAACAATGGTCTGGGTTTTTGTCCAGGCTCTAATGTGAATCAACTATCTCACATGAGGAAAGTCACTTCTTTACCTGTTGAAAACAAGTAGGGGTGGCAGATGGATTTCACCTCAAGGATGAACTCCAATCAATTTGTACTGACCAAATAAAATACTGCATTGAGGATTTTGAAATCCTGATTGACTTCAGTGGGAAAGAACGTTGGAGTCAATTAGTGATGTCTCTCGTGGGTGGTGGTGTGAGAGAACGATGGAAAATAAGCCAGATGTTTGCCATACTAGTATAAATGATCTCAAGTGTCCCTCTCAAGCTCTAAAATTCTGATTTGTTTTTTAGTAATTCACAGACTACTCAGGATCTCTTAACATTTATAACATGCACATTATATGTGAGTAGGTGGTATTCAGTGTTTACTAGATCCTGGCACTGTGCAAAGTACACGGATTATCTCATTTCATCTTCACAGCAATGCTATGTAGCTCATGCTATTATTATTCACATTGTACAGGTGAGGAAACTGAGGCCCAAGGAAATGGAATGACTTGCAAGGTCACGTCATCCCAAGTGAATTTGGGATTCACACCCTGGGATTCTTTCTCCAGAAACTATGTTCTTAATCACTATTTGGGGTAGCCAGTCTACTTTGGCTTCTTTTTCTACAAAAAAGATTAAGATAATGTCTGCAATAGAAAAAGTAAGCATATTCAGGTGACAGGAATCTGCTTGTAATTTACTCTGACAAGGACTGATAACCTTGAGTAACAAAGGGCAGTACAAATATCAACCATTCCTGATATATCACTTATAGGCAAGCTGTTTGAAATGCACATGTCCCTGGGTAAATTCAGACACATAATGATTTTTCAGCAGTACTAATGAGTTAATGAAGTTGGAATATTTTAGGTAAAATAAAACAGAAAATTAAGTTAAGAACTTCAGCTGTGGTCTCGATGCTAACAGACCGTTCTTTTAGATGGTTGGTCAGCAGCTTCTCCCATTACACATCATACTTGGCTCCCCTGTGTTCCACACTCTCAGATGCTCACCAGATGATCTCTGAATTCATTCACTCTTTTCCTAATCCTTTAGGCCAAATAGACTCATCCATGCATTGCACCCCTGCTAGTCCGTAACAGCAAGCCTAGCCTGTGAGCAGCTTGTCTAGGCTCAGGTTAGACAAAGTACTCTAATTTGCAGAATTCATTCAGCATGAGTTACCAGAAATGGCTACATAAGACCAGTTCCCCAGATTCAATTGACCATCAGGTGAGGCAAGAGACCTGGCCACACTTCCTTTCACTGAAACCTGATTAGCACCTCCCACCTCACATTACAAGAGGGTACTCCCACTGATGCCCCATGGGTGGGCATCACAGAAAAAGACGCTACTTTTTGTGGCATTTTGTACATTCATTTTCTTGTATCTTTACTCATCGTTACCCCACTCACTCCTCTCTCTCCAAGATTAATTCTTATGTCATCTAGGCTCTGGACCTCATCCTTTATATACTCGCTTCTCTCCTATATTTAAATTAATTTTCAATTACCCATTAAATATACTAATGGATTCTTTTTTTAAGAAATTAAGACATTACAGATTACTGAAGTCCTGTAGGTCATTGAAAATATGGATCTTGAAGGAGGAGTCTGGCAATAGTAGCTTAAATGGTAATTGAAGTTGTCGTCATTGATGTGATTGTAGAAAGAATTCTCTCTTCTATCTTAAACACTTTAAATAATATTTCCCTTTCCCTCGGCATAAATTGCCTCAAATCACTTTCATCTTTAGAAATAAAACCAACACACAAAAGCAAAAAAGCTCCCTTTTTCCTAAGTCTTCATGTAGTTAACTAACCTCTTACACTCCTCTTGCTCATTCGCTCCTTTTAAGGTTTTCTTTTTATCCTCCACCTTCTTGAGTTTCACTACAATGTATCTTGCTTTTGCCTATGTTGGGTTAGACATAATGAGGAAGAACACACTCTTACACCAAGAGTTTTTTTAAAAACCACAGGTTTATTTCTGCCTTCTGCAACCCTTTGGCCCCGAGAGCTGGGCATAGAGGAGGGAAAGCCAGAGACATATGCACAATTATATGCATCAGCTGCTGTATTCTCATTAGACAGACTTAGGGCCCCTGAAAGGTTAGGAGCTACTTCATCCAGTT